GAAGATCAGAGTGTGGAGCTAAGCCACAAGTTAGCCACAGGCAGTGGTGGCACACACCTCTAACCCCAACACTCAGGAGGCAGAGACAGATGAATCTCTGTGAGTTCAAGACCACCCTGGGCTACACAGATTGAATCAGTCTAAAAGAGAAACAAAGCCAAGTGGTGGCGACTCACACCTCTAATCCCAGCAGTAGGGAGGTGGAGACAGGAAGGGATATGGCTGAGCAGAGAAGGAATATAAGGCAGGAGGAGACAGGAGCTCAGCATTCAGTCTGAGGTTTCAGAGAGATGGCATTCAGTCTGAGGACTTGTAGACACAGGACACCCCCACTTCAGTCAGAGGATTTTGTAGAGGTAAGAACTAGTGGCTGGCTGTTGTTTCTAAGATCTTTCAGTTTTTACCTTTTACTATCTGACTCTGGGTTTTTATTATTAAGACCAATTAGAATTTGTGCTACACCAAACAATCTCTAATAATCTTTAAATAAATAAATAAATCTTTAAAAAACATTTATTTCGTGCATTTATTTGTGTATGTGTGTGCACGCGTGTGTGCATGCGTGCGTGCACACGCGTATGTGCATACAGTGCACATTTGGAGGTTAGAGGACAACTTGAGGAGCAGCTTTTCCTTCCTCTAACATGTGGGTCTCTGGGATCGAACTCGGATTGTTAGGCTTGGTAGCAGGCAGGCATCTGTATCCATTGAGTCATCTATCAGACCAGCTATTTGTCTCTTGAAGTAACTGTTATGAGCTACTCCATGTCTTAGTCACTGCTCTATTGCTGTGAAGACACACCAGGACCAAGGCAACTCTTTTTTTCTTTTTTCTTCGAGATTAGGTTTCTCTGTGTATAGCTTTGGAGCCTGTCCTGGAACTCGCTCTGTAAACCTTATAAAAGAAAGCCTTTAACTGGGAACTTGCTTACAATTTCAGAGGTCTAGTCCATCATCAATGGCAGGGAGCATGGAGGTACACAGACAGATGTGGTGATGGAAAAGTAGCCGAGAGCTTCATCATGAGCCATAGGCAGGCACACACACACACACACACACACACACACACTGGGCTTGTCATGGACTTCTGAAACCTCAGAGACCCCACCTCCCCCAGCGACACACTTCCTCTCTAAGGCTATCCATCCTAATTCTTCTAATCCTTTCGAATAGTGCCACTCTCTGGTGAGCAAGCATTCAAATATATAAACCTATGGGGACCATTCTCATTCAAACCACCACACTCCATTTTGAGTGTAAGTGCCAAGAAAGAATGATTCTGACAGCATGTTTACACAGGTAAACACCACCTGCCAGCACACCAGGAGGCACAAACAATTTCTTTGGGATGTTAAATAATGACGCTTGTGAATACAGCATCACTCCAGGACTAGACTAATGAATTTATCATTGAAGAAGATGGAACTCCTCCCCTGCATCCTGAAAAGGAATGCCCAAGACTGGACCAGGGCAGGTGCACTGGGCGGCCTGTCAGTCACAGCCCTGTCTCGGCATTTTGCCACAGTGAGGACTGAACCTGTCCCTTGCTTCAGCTCAAGTGCAGTGTTCTCTGCCTGTGACATAGCCCATTTCAGGCTGACTCTTCAGTGACTGCACCTGATGTCTCTGTGCTTGTGGCTCCAAGCCTCATCTCCACAGCCTTCAATGTGTCCTTATCAGCTCTCCCCTGTCAACTGGGATGCCTCTTTATAACCACTCCTTACTCCACTTTTGTTTTCTGAGATGGTTTCTCTGTGTAGCCCTGGCTGCTTGCTCTGTAGACCAGGCTGGCCTCAGATGTACAGAGAACTATCTGCTTCTGCCTCCTGAGTGCTAGGATTAAAGGTGTGTGCCACCACCGCCTGGTGAGTCCATTATTAATCAGTGTGCGTGTGTGTTACTGTGTAACGTGTGACCTGAGAACTAATATTAATAACTAAGATCGGAATAGAAGAATCTGATTACCGCTGGCCGCGCCATCAGGTAAAATCTGGGTTACTTGGCAAGTCACAGTCACTGCGACTGAAATGTGTGTTGAGGAAACGTGCCGTCTGTGTTTCTGACACTGTGTGCTCATGGCTCTTTTTTAAGTAACCTTGGGGTGGAGAGAGGCTTCGAGAGACCCAGGAGCCTCCTGCATCACGAGGGACATCCCTAGGCTCGCTCTTGCGAGTGTCCTGTGGGTTGTCACAGCCGCTCTGTTCCACAGTAAGGGTCGTGCCCAGCTGGAAGCTGCAGCTGACTCCATCCGCCCTCGCCGTCGTCTCTGGACTTTCCCTGTCTGTCTAGGGCTCTCCGTGTCATTGCCAGCACATCAGGTGTCCAGGCAGGGATGAGGTTGTTGTGTTTATCAGGGCGTCTCACTGTTTGACACCTGGCATGTGTTGGTTGCACGCACCAGGAGCCTGGACAGGCGGGCTGCTGTCCAGGGTTAATGACACAGTAAGGGTAGTGCAGGCAGACAGCAATAGTGGAGGAGAGACAGCAAGACTGTCTGGATGTGGGCCAGAGAGAGAAAGGTATCCAGACAACTGTGGGGCCTTGGGGTCCTACTCTGCTGGCAATGTGGGACTGAAGGGTCCCTGTCCTCTCAGGTGGAAAGTGTGTTTTAGGCTCCCTCATTAACCCAGGTCCTAGTGTCTTGAGTGTAACACCTGGCCCAGCTGCCTCTCCAGAGCAGATGCATCCCTTCTTCTAGACCTTCTGCTTCTATTAGTGAATTTGGCTGGCAGTTCTACAGGAACACAGCTGGAGTTTGCTCTGTGTGATTACAAATTTTGTGGGTGCAAAAGTGGGGGCAGAGGAAGGCCAAAGGCCTTGTCTCAAAGTCAAGCGGCAGAGTTGGGATCAGAAGGCAGGCAGGTCAACTTCTAAGTGGATGCTGAGCCACGGTCCCTCTACAATTCTACAATTCCTTGACTGTAGACATCAAGATTGACCTTGACCAGGCTACTTCCTGTCTTCCTCTGTCCCCCACTCTGCCCTCTGCCCTCTGCCGTGGCAGCTAGCTAGCACCGCCTACTTGCCTAAAAGCAGACAAACTGTTGGGGTGAGGGGTCATCCCTAGCCTGTTCAAGGACAGTGTACAAATAATAGGAAAACAGGTAGACACGTGGCTGCCCTACCCCGAGGGTCATCCAGATAAAACTGCTAAACGTTCATCAACACGCACCTTCTTGCCACCCTGCTGCGACTCTCTGGCCCTGGGGGTGCCCTCCAGGTCACTTTGTAGGGCTGCAGCCTGCGTCACGGAGTCTCTGAAGGAAACTAGCTGTGCTGTTCAATACAGACAAGGTTGCGTTCCCTTCCAGGGCTGGCTATCAGATAGGATGGCTCTAAGACAGTGACCGCCTGAGGCAAGTCCCCCGAGGAGTCTTGGTGGCTCCGTGATTAGAAGAGGCCCTTGCTTCTCTTCCCTTCCAGGACTGGAGGTAAACTGTAAAGTGGGGTACACACATGAGGGATCACTGTTTATACAGGCACTCTAAGCAGTCAGAAGCCAGGCATAGTCTGAATTCAGAAACAGAGGCAGGCCTATGGGGTTGGCCACCACCCATGACCTCTCACATGCTTTCCTGATGCTGAGGTCATTGACACCAGGATCCTTGTGGGGGGTGTGAATGTGGCATCAAAATAGCCATGCCTCCGCCTCTGCTCACAGGTATTTAAGATCTGCAGGACTGGTAGGAGCTGGCCATTGTGGCATTAGACTGAGAGACCAGAGCTCTTCCCATTTTCCACGCTGTCCATGGATTTTGTTGCTGGGGCCATTGGAGGTACGAGCCAGGGATGGAGGGGTGCAGGGGTTGGGAATAGCTGGGGATGGTGCTTTTGTGTGTGGTAAGTGGGAGGGAGCCTTCGGCAGCTGGTATTCAAGCAGACCCCTGGCGTGGACTATGGGTGCTGAAGCGGGAAGGCCTTGAAGCTCAGGCAGGATGCTGAGGCAGGCTAGGAATCCCTGGCTTGGGAACAGGAATGTCCCTGTGGGGTTAGGAGATGGCTGGGGTCCTTGGTGTGGGTGACTGAATCATGGGGGAGGGCTGAAGGCTCCAGGGAAGAGCAGTGTACCCAGGAGTTCTGCTGTAGGCAGCAGGAACGAGGCATAGAGCAGGCCCAGATGGACGGTTTCGCTGATCCCCTGGGGCCTAACAACATCTAGCCCATCTGTGGATGAAACTGTTTCTTTCCTGGGGCGAGACGGCAGAGGGGAGAGGTGGCTTCCCACGGGCCATCGATCCTCAGGCTGTGCAGCTATTTCGAGTGAGGCACCCTTGGCCCGGCAGCTCTTGTGAAATAGCCATGTTCTCACTGCTGGGAACAGCCTGGGGCCTGAGAGGATAGTCAGCACCAGCCTTGGGGAGGACTGAGTCCTGGCCCTGTCTGGGCTGCCTGGGGTCTTGACCTATGGCTCTACCAAGGCTGGCTGCTCCTCTGAACGTTAGCGTCACAGGTCATGCCCTCCTCATAGCCACAGGACAGGCCCTAGTGGGGGGTCCTTGCTCTGTGCTGGTTCCTGGGTCCCAGGGACTCAGACCCAAGCCTTTCCTTTAAGAACTTTAGATGTAGAGGTGACCATCATGTGAGGCATAGCAGCAAGGCCATGGGACACAGGTTCTGATCAACATGCTTCCAGGCAGAAGCAACCAAAAGCACAGTAGGAAGGTGTAAGAGAGGAGGGCTTTGAGGGATTGATAGGAGTTGGTAAGGGCTTTGAGAGACATAGAAGGCTATTCTGAGTGTCCTGCCAGGCAGTTGCTTTATACCTCCCTGCCCCCTCCCAGGCATTCATTCTTCATTCTAATGCACCCTAGGACACATCTCCATGGACCTTGCCGTCCTTCATGGTGTTCTTAGCATCCTTGCTCGGGGTTAGAAAGCCCAAGGCCCTGATTGGCTCCTCAACTTCTTTAAGGTTCTGCTGGCCTTCAAAGCTGTGGAGGCCCCAGAGCTGGAGTGGCAGGGCCAGGAGGGTAGTGTGGCTCTCTTGGTCCAAAGCTAGGGTGGGTACTACAGGCCCCTCTGCAAGGTGGGTTGGCAGCTGTCCCTCGTTTTCAGTTCCTCAGTGGGCAGTTCCCAAAGCTGTGACCACCAGGTGGCCTCGTTGCTTGGGCCAACGTATGGGTGTTAGAGGACAATAGTAGGGACTTCTCTTGGCCAGGAAGTCAAAAAGCAAGGGGTTACAATTTCATAGTCCCCTCCAAATCGTGACCACAGTGACTTAGAGACGACCTATGGGCTCTGCCACTCACACGTGGGCCTCTGGGGGAGTCTGTCCAGACCACAGCAGCGGTGCACATTCTGTCCCATGCACACTTGTGGTTCAGGGCCCCAGGTGGGAGTCAGGACTGCTCAGCAGGCCTTTACTCATAACATGCCCCTCCCCTCCCCTGTGAAGTGTGACTGTCCACCTGGCTCCCACACAAACCCTGCGCAGGCAGAAGCTTGAGGGCAAAGTTTGCCTGGCTTAGAGACAGGGTCAGCCAGAGAGGAACCAGGCGTTCTCCTGAAAGGTGATGTCAGAGGGGAGGCTGAGGAATGTCCTTGGCCTGGGCAATGGGGATAGGCACTGTTGGTCCAGGAGAGGGGTTGGGAGATATCTAGCAGGCTTGGCAGGTGCACACAGAGCCTCGGTTTCTCAGCTGGCTGCGGAGAGGCAGAGCCCAGGTAGGGTCAGCTGGAGGTGGGAGAGGGGGGCTTGCTTGAGGCCACCGTCTCCCATCCCTCAGCATGGGTGGGCTCTCACTGCTGACAGGGCATCTCCTACTGCCTCACTGGGTCCTCTGATTGCCTTGCAGGAGTCTGCGGTGTTGCTGTGGGCTACCCTCTGGATACAGTGAAGGTACAGCAAGGCCCTACCTTGGTTTAGATTACTTAGTATCTCTGAATGCTAATAGGACCCAGTCCTCTCCCATTCTAATAGTCAATGCTTCCCTAGGGCTCTTGGGACTGTCGGTCTCTCATCCTGTGCCCCAGAGGTCTCATTCTAAAAGGTGTTCACTGTCCCCACTCAGTCTACAGCAGCATACCTGACAGTCAAGGGGCTGAACCTAGTCTTCTACTGGCTTTGCCCCAGGCCTAGGGCCAGCCCTTCCTAAAGCCTTCTCCATTTCCCATAGGTCAGGATCCAGACTGAGGCCAAGTATACCAGCATTTGGCACTGCATCCGGGACACGTACTGTCAAGAGCGGGTAGGACTGGGGCCCGATGGTAGGGTGGTATCAGGGACTGCGACTTGCTAGCGATACCCTTCCCCTAGCCCCTTGGCCCTCCGAACAGGTATGGCTGTGCCCAGCCCTGAGATCCCCTCTGAGTCCCAAAGTCAGAGCACTGGGAACCCTATTTGGTACAGAACTAAGTCCCTTGTCTTTCAGGGAAGGGACACAGGGGAACCTGAGATTCTGAAGGTCAGGGAGGAGCCCATCCAGGGAAATGTCTTACAGACACTTATGCAAGTGACGTGGGACTTGGTGCAGGAAGGGGTTAGCTAAGCATCATGTTGGTTCCACCAGCATGGCCAGGCAGCTGTCTTCAATCCCTCAAACATCAAGTCAAGTGCTGAGATCCCAAGGGTGATGTCTGGAGGCATTGGTGGCAAGAGAGGTGGTGGTCAGTCCCAGATGTCCCAGCCCCAAGGCATTCTCTCTTGGGTCCTGTCCTTATTTGGTCCCTATCTACCAGGTGTGGGGCTTCTACCGGGGCCTCTCACTGCCCGTGTGCACTGTGTCCCTGGTGTCGTCTGTTTCTTTTGGCACCTACCACCACTGCCTGGCTCACATTTGCCGCTTCCGGTACGGCAGCACTGACGCCAAGCCCACCAAGGCTGATATCACACTTTCAGGAGGAGCCTCTGGCCTTGTCCGGGTGAGTAGAGGCAGTTGAGGGTGGAAGGGCACCAGAGATAATCAGGGCGTTTGAATCTTACCTCCCAGCAGGTGTCAAGACTGAGGCCCTGGGAAGCTAGAACCTATAGGGCACGGGCACTGTGATGAGGAACTAGTATCCTGCCTGGGATGGGCTAGGTTCCTTTTGGTGTCCCTCCCAGAATGCTCCAGTGGAGAGGAAGAAATGACCATAAAGAAGCTCCCTGTGAGGGTGTGGGGAGCCACAGAGATAGCACTCAGGTGCTTGTGACTTCCAAGCTCCATCTTCAGGGTACCCAACAAATGCCTGAACACCATCTAGTGTTACCATGGACACCTGGCATCCTTCATCTTCAGTGGAGATGGAGCATGGGTAAACCACTCAACCCTTACTTAGAGTTTCCACAGGCTGTGGGCTAAGTGTTGGCTCCAGTATGCAGTGCAGACACCAAAGGCCAATGAGCCTAGTCAGCCTCTGAGCTGCCATCTGATCTGCAAGAGGTGTGAGGAGAATTAGGGCAGACCAGAGGTATAAAGACCCCAGGGCAGCCTGGTCCATCTGTGTCCCGCAGCGACCACCATGCCCTGCTTTTAGCAACATGACTACAGCGCAAACAAGTGTGTCAACTGTGCTCTTGAACTAGTCACATTCACTTAGCACCAGATATGTGTCAAGCCAGGACTCTCCGATGCAGGAGACCTTGGTTTCAGCCTTCATAGGGCTGAGCTGGCTTTCAACCCAGCACTATCAAAACCCTGGGACCAGCTTGCAGCTTCTTGGGATCTGGGCTCTCAGCACTGGGTCTTAGAGCCAACGGTTAGGCTGTAGGCATGTCCTAACCTTGCTTCTTCTCTGTCCCAGGTGTTCTTGACATCACCCACAGAGGTGGCCAAGGTCCGCCTGCAGACACAGGCCCAAGCTCAGATACAGCAGCGGCGGCCCTCAGCCTCCTGGACATCAGTGGCTCCTGCTTTGTGTCCTGCAACCAATGCATGTCTGGAACCAAGGCCCAAGTACCATGGGCCGCTGCACTGTTTAGTCACAGTGGCCCGCGAAGAGGGGCTTCGGGGGCTCTACAAGGGCAGCTCAGCTCTGCTCCTTCGTGATGGTCACTCTTTTGCTACCTACTTCCTTTCTTATGCCATGCTCTGTGAGTGGCTCACCCCAGCTGGCCATAGCCAGCCAGGTGAGTGACAGGCAGAAACGGTGGAGTTGGCCCAGTGGGCTGGGGGCTGGGAGAGGAATCTGCACAGTGCAGCTAGCTCACCAACACTGAATCAAGCTAAGCATCTTTGCCTTATTTTTCAATGGTTTCTGAGGTGTGTGTCTGTCTAAGGCCACACAGTGACTTTGTGACAGAGGGGTGTATCCTGACTCAGTGAGCTGTCCTGGCTGGGTCCTGTCTCTGAGAAGCTTGCAATAAGGCATGTTCACGGTGTCTCTTGCAGATGTCCTAGGTGTGCTGGTGGCTGGCGGATGTGCTGGTGTCCTGGCCTGGGCCGTGGCCACCCCCATGGATGTGATCAAGTCACGCCTGCAGGCAGACGGGCAGGGCCAGCAGCGCTACCGGGGCCTCCTGCACTGTGTGGTGACCAGCGTGCGGGAGGAGGGCCCCAGGGTGCTCTTCAAAGGGCTGACGCTCAACTGCTGCCGTGCCTTTCCTGTCAATATGGTGGTCTTCGTGGCCTATGAGGCTGTGCTGCGGCTCACTCGGAGACTGTTCACATAGGGCCACTGGTCGGAAGCAGCCAGCTCACAGCCGCTGGAGGCCAAGGGGAGAATGGGTGGGTTCAGGACCCCACAGGGCTGTCACTGGAACAGCAGAGGGCCTTCTGTGCAGTGACTTAGGTGAGGCCTGAGCTTGGCCTGCCCAGCTGCTGCTCACAAAGTCAGGGGGTTGATCTGCTTGGGGGGTCACGAGTCAAGGCTGTGTGGGTCTCCTTGATGAGGATGCGCCACTTGGAGTCATTTGTCACCCAGCAACTGTCCATTCCTGAGTATCCTCCCTTGTCCACACCCATGACCTCAGAGCATTCTCTCACCAGCCCCAGTTCCACTCATCTTGTGATCCACACTCTTCCCTTAAGAGACAAGTGAGGGACCAGACAGCAAGCTGAGCCATCTGGCTACAGGCTGGGCTTGTTCCCTGTCCCAGGCTGTCCAAGAGGGCCCAGAGTCCTCATTGGCCCACGAGCTGGTGTGGGGCTTCACTGAGTACGCATTTACACTGCTTGCCACATAAAGACCCTGGAACCTGGGTCAATAAATGTTTCTGAGGTTGCTCAGCGGTGTTGCTGTGATCTGTGCGGTGCTGGCCCTCCAACCTTGTGTTCACCCGGGGTGCCGTGAGACCTGTCAGCTCGTGGTGGGAGAGGCTGTGTGAAGCCCTGGCTAAGATGGCCTAGAGTTCTTACGTGGGTAGCCAGGTGCCCGTTATGTAGGGGTCCCTGGGGAAACCTGCACAGTCTTTACTTCTGGGCTGTGTACTTTGTTATCTGTGTCATTACCGGGCCAAACTCCTGGAGCACTGTGACAGGGTAGGAAAGTGCGGGGTCCCTTACAAAGGTTTTATGGGCCAGTGGTTGGGAGGGGAGGGGAGGAGAGGCTAGTGTCTGCTCTTAGGCACACGTGGGATTTGCTCGTGCTTCAGTCCTCCCTTTCCGGAGACCCTGTGGCTTCGGGTGTTGGGCGTCACTGGGAGTGGAGCTGGCAGCACAGTGTGACCCTACTGGGTCTTCACAGAACAGCCCTGTGGTAAAGCTGACTGATACCCGCCTCAGCCGGGCAGGTTCAGATGCCAAGCCTGGCCATGCATGCACCAAATGTTCTCCAGTTTTTCTCTTCCAATAAAACTTCAGTTTCTAGAAGGTGCGGAATCTGTTTCTGGGTCTGCCCTTGTCACGTAGGCCCTTCAGCACCAATCTTACACCCAGGGCCCTTGCCTGCAAGACCTCCCACTGCCTGACGTCATCTCTTGGGCCTCCCCTCCTCCCGGAAGAGATACTCTGGGCTCCTCCCATGGAGCCTAGCCAGCTGGCTGGTTGCTTATCTGTCCCATCTTAAAACTGGGAGCTGCCCAGGACTTCTCAGCCTCTGATGAACAGGGGAACTAGCTTTGCAGTAAGGCCCTGGTTATGATGAAAGCCAGAGCGTCCAGGTGGGGATGGGAGGCTTCTGGAGGGACAGGACTTCAGCATGTCTCCAGCTGCAGGCGAGGGAGAGCTGGCCCAGACACCCTCTGCAGGCACCTGGGAGGGGCACACACACAGAGCTGCTGTGGACTTTTCGAATGTCCTCTTCCCCTCACTTGCCACACGTAGTCCTTCAGCCTTGGGGTTCTCCTCCACTTTCAGGTATAGTTTCTCTTCAAACCATTTCAGTTACTTTGTGCAGATTTAAGAGCTGTTTGTGGGCTTGCTCCCACTCTGCTTGCATTCTTCAACACTGACTTATGTTGACTTATGCACTCCATATGCCTCTACAATTGCAATCCTCAAGTCCTTTTCATTTTAGTTCCCCAACTTGAAAGTTCACCTAGTTTAGAGAGGTCAAGATGCTGGGACATTCTGGGCCAGTGCCTGGAAAAGGACAACCAATGAAAGGGCCCAATAATTTACCAACTCTGTCTGGGGCCACTGGTACCAGTCTTTTTCTTTTCTTTTCTTTTCTTTTCTTTTTTCTTTCTTTCTTTCTTTCTTTCTTTCTTTCTGTTAAGTTTTTTTTTTTTTTTGTTCTTTTTTTTTTGAGACAGGGTCTCACTATGTTGTCTTGACTAGCCTGGAACTTGCTATGTAGATCAAGCTGGCCTCAAACTCAGAGATCTGCCTGCTTCTGCCTCCCAAAGGCTGGGGTTAAAGGTGTGAAGTTCCACATTCACATGGTTCAGGGCAGGAGGATGCTCTGGGTTCTGCTGACCCTAATCACTGATCTGTTGCCCCAGCCCAGTGTCCAGGCTGCCATTGGTGAGGGAAGTGACTTAGCAGGAAGAGCTTGGAACTCACTACCTAGCCCTGGCTGGCCTCAAATTCTCATTGTCTACCTGCTTGGCCTCCCCAGTGCAGGGATTCTAGGCAGAAGTCACCGTCACTGGCCTCACTCCTGCTGCCAGAAGTAAAGCTCAGAGGGAAGGTGCTGGCTGCTCCTGATCTCACACTGGGGAAGAGCTGGTCTCCCACAGGGCTACTTCCAGAAAATTCAAGGCTGTAGCTGAGCATTTCAGGGAGAGCTCAAAGCTGCCCCTTGAGAGCTCCCACAGATTGTGCTGGCTACAGCGCCATGGGCCCAGAAGGGCTCACAGCGCAACTTTGGAGAGTTTCTGCACATGCTGCTCCTGATGGGAGGAGGACACCGTTCTTCCTGGGAAGGCTCTGGACCATTTGTATTGGACACCATCCCCAGGCTGTCCCCTTCTCTCAGGGAGCTTTAAGAATCCCCTGGATTTCAGCAAAAGTGGCAGCTATTCTACCCTCACCATGACTAGCAGCAGCCTTGGCTATCACCTCTGTGTTGTCTTACATGGAGGAGACGGAGTTCCCAAGAGGTCAAGTGACTCTCTTAAAGTTGTGGTCAGTGGGAGGGGCTGGCCTGGGTGCCCACTCCTCCCTGGGACCAGGATCCTAGCTAAGCCGTCAGATGCTCTGGCTGGGTAGACAACGACAGCAACATCTCTCCCTCATCTGCAGCTCTATGTCCCATGGGAGCAATGGCATCACAAGTAACACCAGTCACTCTGGATCAGAGAGAGAGCGCAAGGCAGTGCTCTGCATCTGCTTCACCAACTCTGGCCACAAAGTGGGACAGGGCCTCGAGAGGAGCTGGCATGGACTTCATGCCGTACTCTGACTCTCGCATGGGCTGACACTAAAACGGCCCCTGGCCTTGGCCTCCCAGGGTGTGAACCTTAGTGCTCTCAATACTAAGTCAATGCAGACTGCTCAGTAACAAATTCACTGTGTGGCCTTAGGAGAGCCACACTTCCCTACTCAGTACCCCACTGAGCACCCAGGCCTCTGCAGACAGGACAGCATAAACATATTCTCTCTTCAGGCCGTTAGAACGTCAAACAAGGTGGGAAAGCAGTCGCAGGGACAGGGTTGCTTCTCAGGACAAGCGGTTGACACAAAAACAGTCCCTGGGAGCCTGCCTCTAAGCACCATGGGCCCCTCTCCCTCCTCCCCCAACAAGGGGGATAACCACAGCCTCAGCATGGGTGTAGTGAGACTTGGGGCAGTAAGTGCAGGTACCTCTGAAACCTGCTTGGACAGATGGTGACAAAGGCAGGAGCACAACAAAGTTTATTTTTGCAAGGACAGAACATTCGAGAGTGGCCTTTGTGCCTTCAGAGAGGACAGACACGTTCAACCAGGGGCTTTCCCTGAGATATGGCTTCGGCTTTGCCAAGACTCTGAGTGGTGGCTCAAACAGGGCCAGCCCGGAAGGAGAATGCCAGGGCCTGGATGGCTGTTGTTCTTTCCTGTCTAGCTATGGTCCACCGGCCCAGGGCACAGCCAGCACTGTTCTGTGCTGCCCTCCACTTCAGTCAAGTGTCAAAACAAAAGCATCTGCAAAGGCAACAGACTGTCCTTAGAGTCTGATGGTCGGGAGAAGTCACCGCTGGGTTTTAAAAAGTGGAGGCTGGGCCATTTGTAGAAAAGTTAGTACACTAAGGGCAACAGGCATGATTCTGGAGTGGACAACACGTGTGATCTGGAGTTCAGTTACCTCAGCCTCAAGTTTCACCCACAAGACTCAGGTTAATAGAAATGGTCAAGCCTGGTCCATAATCAGTGTTAAAAGCAGCTTTAGAGCTGAATGATCCCCCACAGCCTCCACTGTGGTGTTGAAGACTGAACCTAGGGCATCATGCACGCTAGGTGAGTGCTCTACTACTGAGCTACATCTACAGGACAAAGGTAATCACTTCCTAGTCAGTACCAGCAAAGCTTATATATATTATATGCTAATGTATAAATATATCTATGTATATATAGTTGGTATGGGCTCAAGCACAGCATCTTTTGCCCACTAAAAGTCTCCTCATTGGTTTTTCACAGCAGTTTTTAGTTTTACAATAATGACATTCTGACTCCATAGACTCAGAATCAAACACAAATTATGACAGGCTCTTGCTGGGTAGCCCCAGCTGGCCCAGAACTTGTGCCTTTGCCTCCTGAATACAGAGATTATAAGGCGTGCACCACCATGCATAGCACATATACTTAAAAAAGAAAACCAATAGATTTTGGGAATTTATCTGGAACCCTAGGGTGCTAGATAGACAGTCCTGTGGGGCACAGAGGTGCCACACCTGGGCTCTTTGTGGGGGAGATTCTCGGCTGGGTTTCTATGTGACCACACAACATTAGCAGTACCTGACCATCCTCAGCAGACAACAGGCGGAGAGACATCACAGAAGAAACAGCATCCAGAATGCACAAGGGTGTAGAGACCCAGGTCCAGGAATTACCACGTGACAGAAACCTACTGGGAGTGTGACTGATTGGAGGGGCTGGGATTACTGATAGATTTTTGTCTTTATGTGCACACAGAAGAGAAGCATTACTGAAAGTGGAAGGACAGCTGCCGGGGAGTCATGAACTCCTTCACCACTTCCTCGGTGACCGCCTTGCGTCGGGCCTGGTGCTCCGCCACCAGAGGCTGGAGGACATCTATGAGTGTCTTCTTGAGCTCCCCAGTGAGCATGGCTCCGCTGGTGTAATCCTGCCAGGAATGGGATGCTGTAAGCAGTGGCTTAGCGTCCGAGCCCTCCCCACCTGAGCTCTAGTTCAGCTTATGTCCCTTTAGGAGCTATGCCTAAAGTGTCACAGTAACCTGGGTCTTACAGGACATTAAAATGTCTGTTTCTTGTGCCTTTTCCTTTGGTTGTTGTGCTAATTCTGATGTGTTACTTTTTATTTTACCTTATAATATTTCATACTGTCTGAAGATGCCTGTTTGTTTCCTAATGAAACACAGAAAGGGAGGAGCAGGAGTAGAGACCATACTCAGAATCTATTTTGTCACTCACAAGAGAAAAGAGAGCTGGCTCGGCTCCCAGTGATGGCTCCATGCACCCTGACACCTTCCTTCCCGACTGTGCCACTCTTTGAGCAGACAAAGCAGACCCATAACCTAGGTGGCAGCAAGTCGGGGAAAATCCCCTTCAGTTCCACACGACAGGCACTAGCCACTAACAGTGACTGGAATATTTCCTCCGAGAACTTTCTGGTGACTGTCATGTAGCTCTCTTCTCGCTGCTGTCCTTTCACTGTCCTTGGCAGTGGTTCCGGTGTCACTTAAAACCCTTATTACCTATTTCTATAGCCTCGGCACTCAGGTGGCTGAGGCAGGAGGATTGTCATGAGTTTAGCGTAAGCCTGGTCTATAAAGGGAGTTCCAGGGCTACACAGTGAGGTTCTGTCTTAAACAGTAACAACCAAAGACACCTACACAATAGTGAAGTGTGCCTGCAACAGTTCTCACCTGGCCTCCTGGCTGCACGTGTATACTTGTAACTTTTTACTGCTAGTATTTTTGTTATTTTTATATGAAAAGCTGTTTCCTATTCTGCTGTGGGACAATGGTCTTGTACCCTGTAAAGATGTGTCACTTGCTTGTATTAATTTAACAAAATGCTGATTGGCCAGTAGCCAGGCAGGAAGTATAGGTGGGGCAACCAGAACAGGAGAATTCTGGGAAGAGGAAAGTCTCAGTCCACAGTCTTTACCCAGGCACAGAGGACGCAAGATGATAAAAGGTTCCAAGCCATGTGGCTGACACAGACAAGAATTATGGGTTAATGTAGGATGCAAGAGTTAATAAGGAGCCTGAGCTAATAGGCCAACCAGTTTATAACTAATGTAGGCCTCTGTGTGTTTCTTTGGGACTGAAGGCTGGGACCGGGTGTGACAAAAACCTCTGTCAACACTATTCTATAGTATTTCCTTGGAAAAGACTCCAAGGCCAAGGCTCTGCTTGTCCTCACCAGCTCACTGAGAGGCTGTCCTGGAACCACAGACACCTAAACAATCTACTGGCATGTGGTTCACCTATATTTCTCCCCTGACAAGAAAGACAAATCTTCTTTATGCTCTTACTTTTGTGAACTATTCAAGGGTTCTTCCCATGTGGTTAAAAATCTGAGTGATCTTACCCAGTTTTTGTTTTACATATGGAATGTTTCATGGATTTTGTGCCATCCTTGAGTGGGGGCCATGCTCAAATTCTCTGTATTGTTCCTGTTTTGGTATATGTGCTGCTGAAGCAAGCACCTGTTCTGTTTTTTAAATACAGCATCTTGTATAGCCCAGGCTGGCCTGGAATTTGTAATCTGCCTGCTTCAGTTTCTTGAGTAGTTAGGTCTAAGTACGTAGGAACTTACTTGTAAGAACTGAGCCTGGTTCAGCCCAGGCCACCAAGGATGCTCTAGCAACACACAAGGCTGGCTAGGCTGTCAGGCTCATGAGGGTGGGTGGTAGGGCTGGGGTGGACTCACCTTTCTGATCTGCTCCAGCCTGTCATCATCTTCAAGGAAGAAGGTCAGGTACATGAAGGACACGTCCACTTCACAGTTGCCCCCAAACTGCCTATGCTCCTCCACGGTGTCTCTTCCACCAGAAAACGCGTGCTTGTTGACCTGCACCAGCACAGAAGCCAGTCAGAGTGCTGCCCTGTCCTTGGACACAGGTCAGGGCCTACGGGGAAGCAGTCACACTAGTGACTCATGGCGAAGGGCAGGGAGGCTGACTGGGCTAAACACTGGGGGAGAGCCCAAGCCCTCTTCAGAAAGGATGAGAGCAGTGCTACCCCCACCCCGTGTCCACATAAGCCGTGAGGTCAGGGGAGCACAGCTGAAGGAAGCTCCACTTTCAGGATGCGGTGGCAGGAAAGGCCTGTAGGGAGGTTTCCACCCACACAGGCCGTGTCAGACGGACTAGAGAGATAGCTCAGTGACTGAGTACTGGCTGCTCTTCCAGAGGACCAGAGTTCAATTCCCAGTACCACATGGCACTTCAAAACTGTCTGTTACTCCAGATGCCCTTGTCTGGCCCCCATGGATACCAGGCACTCATGTGAAGCACAGACATACACACAAGCAAAATACTAATACACATAAAAACAAGCAAACAAATCCCAGAAACTAACATAATGGAGCTCAGCTCAGTGGTGGGCAGTTAGCATACAGGAGGCTGAGGCAGGAGGATTGCCTGTGTTTAAGAGTTCCAGGCCAGTCTCAGCAACACAGAGAAACAGCATCTTTAAACAAACAAAAGAACAGTGTAAACCTTTAACCCAGCATATAGATCTGTGAGTGAGGTTAGCCTGGGGTACATAGTGAGTTCCAGGCCAGCCAGTGGTACTCAGTAAGAGCCTGTCTCAGAAATGTAAGTAAATAAATAAATAAAAACAAATGAAAGCTAGGGGTAAAGGTCACCAGGTCTTTGCACCTCACAAAAGCTGCCTAGACTGCAAAGATCCTCCTCTTCATAGTTGAAAGGGTCATGTTTTGTCAGAATATTTTGTCTTAGGACAAATCTCCCAAATCCTCTCAGAGAACTAACTGCTCGGCTTCAGGTTGCTGACTCCCAAGAACAAACACGCCCAGACATGGGTGGCTGTTCCTGCTTTATAATGAAGAGATGGTGTTTCCCTGAGTTCTGTGAGCTGTCCCAGCAAATTAGTGAAGTCTTGGTAGGGGCTGTGGGACCCTGGCGCAGAACTGGTTAGTCACAAGTCGGGATGCCCACCTTGGGCTGTCAGAGGTGCAAGTGCTGCATTCTGCAGGGAGAACGCATTGGGACTGAACTGACTGTAGGACACCAGCCAGTTGGTGTCTGCTGGAAAACCACTTGGCAGACACAGAGGTGGAGGGAAAAGTCCCCTTGCCTTGTTAACTTATAGGCCAAGCTAATCAGGGCCCCAGACTGTTGGCTGCTGTGTGAACGAGCAGTGAGACTTCCTCATTGTAAGAGTGACCCTGCTGCTGGCAAGGTCTCAGCCCAGCTCTGAGCTGTGGAGAGGACCTGACTATGACCCTGGCCTCTGCAGGCCCTTGTAGTTCTGATCTTGTGCACAACACTCACCAAGGCCTTGGGTCTCTGCTGGCTTTTGCAAATGGAAAATATTCCATAGTTATAAGCTGCTTCTAAAAAACCAACTTCTCAAAATTGAGCAGAACATGTTTCCCCACAAACCTCACTCCTCCCCCTCCCTCTGCATTCTGGAAGTTTCAGATAAAAGCAAAAGAGAAAGAAAGATTTCCCCCAAATCCCCAATCCTATTAGTTCTCATGTTAGGCAAGGTTGGCCAAAGCCATTTCCGGAGGAAGGGCTGTATATGAAAAGTCCCCATTGTCAACCAGAACCTGTTTGGGACTTTCCGAGGGCTTGTGGACCTGGCAGGGACTCTGACTATTGTATAACACCCCCCTTTCCCCCCCCAGATATGTTCCTCTTACTTCTCTTAGATCATCCAGGCCACAAACAAATAGTCGGGTCCAAAGGAAACATCAGTGACTTGCTGTAACTATCAAGGGCTCACACTCACTGGCAGCTGAGTTCTGAGCAGCAGCAGTGGGCTCTGAACCATGTGGATGCAAACTCCTTTCTAGTTCCAGTTTCCAACTAACTTGCAAATATTTCCCAAGCACCCACAGCCTGCCAGACATGGCAATCCTACTGGAGGGCACTTCTCAGTTCTTCCCAGGAGAGCATCCTAGAGAATAGCAGCCTACCATGCTGCCTTCACTCCGGAGCAGTGTGCCAGGGAGGAGCTTTAACGCTGAGTGATCATCCTCTCTGTCTCATGACTCTCCGCTCCAAACAAACAGAGTAGCTGGGCATGGTGGCTGGGCAGAGTGGCGCACGCCTTTAATCCCAGCACTCTGGAGGCAGAGGCAGGTGGATCTCTGTGACAGCCTGGTCTACACTGACACTTTGTCCCAATAAACAAACCATTTATTGAGGGACTGGCAGGGACTGAGGGAGAAGGAAACTCAGAAACCATCAGCATGATAACTGGCCCAGCCCGGTCTGATTTTTCAGAACACAGTCCCATCTTTTCTATTATCTGACAACAGCTTCATTGATTATGCTTTAAAGCAAACCACCAAGATCCTGCTTCTGCACTGACATGCAAGAAAAGAAAAGAGGAAAATGGAAAAGTCCCCAGGTTCTTACCTATACGAAGGGACTTAATAAATTCCCTACCACCAAAAACCAAAGTCCCAAACCCCCAGTCCACCCAAACCCAAGCTCCCCTGCTGTGGCTAGTGGGCTCCTATGGAATTCAGCACCGCTAGGAGTCCGAGTTGTAAGAAATGGTAGGTCAAGGGAACTGTGCTTCCTGCTTCTCTCAGGCTCACCTTGCTCTTGATCTGCTTGGCTGTGTCAGTGAGGAAGATGGAAGAGTTGGGGTCACTGGCGCTCATCTTGGTCTGAGCACCCTGCAAGGCAGGGAAGAAGGTGGAATGCAGCAGGGCAGGTTTAGGGTGGCCGATCCTGGGAGCCACGTCCCTTGTCATTCTGAAGTACGGATCCTGGGTGGAGAAGGCTTGGGTGAAGACAACGGAACACACGTCTAGACTCTCGCCAATGGGCCACCACAAAGGAGCCCCCCTCGTGGGAGGCTGTGAAGCCTGCAGTCAGTTTCAGACTGGCTTCTCTTCTCTAAACACGTATAGCCCACCTCCACCCTCCTCAGGAGAGTCCCGAAACCACAGGCAGTCCCATTTCACTTCCCACAGCTGGTTCTGCCTCCAACCTGGTCAATGGCACACGGGATGAGGCACTGGATGTCCGTCCGGTCTCGGAAGATGTTCGGGAAAGAGTTGCTGAATGATGGTGCAGCCTGGACAGCAGGAAAACTGATCTTCCCTGAAAGAAGGGGGACACTCCTGTGTGTGGGGCCGACCACTGCTCTGGGTAATCGATCCAGTTACAGGAATCAACAGTGGGTTTCCTCCCGACTGAAAACAAACTAAACACAGCCTAACAATGCAGAGCAGGAGCCCCACCCCGGGTGTCTCATCAGATGTTTCTCGTCTGCATTTCTCAGTGTGCTACTCGTCAAACCCCACGGCAAGGCGCCTCCTGCCATCTTACAAACATGCAGGCTCAGGGTGTTTATGTGGTTGGCCACAGCTGCACACAGCAAGTGACTGGCTGAACAAGGACTGAACACGGGGTGTCAGGGAAGGACGGGACCGGATTTGTTTTAAGATGCTGCTCATCACTTCCACAGTGGAATATCCTGGATGCTGTTACCCCAATGCCAAGTGCCTCTCAAAATCAGGAAGACTATGCTCCAATTGCTGGGAATGAATCTGACTGAACCATCAAAGAGAGGGGGGCCAGGGGACTAGACACAGAGGACAGAAGGTCCAGACAAGTCTCAAGATGATGGCCTACAAAGGCCAGTACCTTACAGAGACATGCGGAGGACATAACTATGTGTATACACTTGGCATATACAGTGTGTATCAGTGGAAAGTCACAGGGAGGAGAGTATGGAGCCTGTAGTTAGTCAAACCCCTTTTCTTATTATGTATTTAATTATTTATTAAGGTTGCACTATGTGGCTCCTGACTAACCTGAAACTCACTATATAGATTAGGCTGGCCTCAAAATCTGAGATTTGCCTGCCTTGGCCTTTGAGTGCTGGGATTAAAGGAATGTGCCACTATAGTCAGCTACAACTTCTTATCTCATCAGTGGGGAGACTGGGGCCCAGGGAAGGCTCCTATAAGAGAGTGGAAGATCCACCTGTCCTCTGTAACCCTCCTGGGTGCTACCAAGCTCTGTAGTGATTGGGGTCACACCAGCACGTTGGAGAACTCCACCCAGTCTTGTCTGTCTGCGTCTGGTGGAACACCCACCTCTGAATGTTTTAAATGAAGTACTAACATCTCAGGTCTCTAAGCAGATGCTTTAAAGACCAGATACTCAGGGTGGCATGGGGCTCAGTGGTAGCATTTCTTACAAGTATGAATCTATCTCTTGGAACACACACACACACACACACACACACACACACACACACACACATCCCAGGTACGTTAGCTCAGGCTTTGGTGTTGCTGTTCTGTATTTTATTTATTTATTTTTAAATATTGGTTGATTGATTAATTTAGTTTTTTTCAAGTGGGTCTGCCTCCTGAGTGCTGGAATTAAAGGCACGCACCACCACCGCCCAGCATTGCTGCTCTGTGATTCTTATGAAACTGGCTAGTCTCCTCTGAGCTTGCCTGTCCCACAGAGAGAGTTAGAGGGGT